GCGGGGGCCAAGGTGGCGGGGAGGAAGAAGGCCGCAGCCAAAGCGACGAAGTGAGATTGTTTTTGGTTGTGAGGCTACTGCACATGACATCGCACACCATACCACTGCGTTGACGGGCAACAATTTGTTGTGGTAGCGCTGCCCCGCTCGCTTGCTTCCAACATGCAGCCCTGATTTTGGCAACTCTTGGGGGGCCGTCAGTGCTGAGCTGCAGGGTCGGACTTCTTGACACGCTGGTCAAATTGGGCACCTGGCTTGACGCTGTATAGCTTTCCTTGCAGCTCGCGTGGCCACGACATATTGCGGCTTTGGGGGTCGCAGCTCCGACCACGTTGACCACAATTGACCGTGTTTGACCGACCTCCTTTCTTCTGCCTGTGCCCTGCGCCCTCGCGAATATGCTGCACCCTACCTCCACCGAGCTGTGCCCTCTTGCCGCAGCTGCACGCGACGCGTCGTCCTCTGGGCTGGAGCGAGAGCGAGACCTTGTCGTTCCTCGTCCCCATAGCGCCCGCGCGCGTGTAAAGTGATTCACTGTCGGTCCCTACGTCCCTTTCTATCGCCTGAGCCTCTGCTGTTGCCAAAGCACCTGGTTGCCCCGCTGCTGGGGACAACAGCAGCCACGCCACCAGTGGCAACAGCATCCCGCTTGGCAGCAGCAGCACAGAACCAACACAGGGAGGTGGCAGCACCGGCTGGCGGCGGCCCGCCGGCAGCTGCAGAGGCACGAGGTGGAGGCGGCCGTCGCCGACACTGCAGCATCCACAAAAGACTGGGGGCTTCGGTCGGAGCGAGAGGCCGTCCTCGATTTGTGCTGTCCCAACGCCTCGGAGATTGAAGATCAAAAAATAACAGTCAGTCTGCCTCTTACACAGGCGCATTGTTGGCGAGGTGGGGGTCCTTTGAGGTGTGCAAAATAGGTTCAGAGTGGAGCATTTGTTGGCGACAAATCGTTTTGTCGACAGGACTTACTAACATGATGACATAATATTGGATCTTTGACCAATGTTTACGCATTGACAGGGTGTAGACACACGTCGGCATGGGATCTGACGAGCAGAAATAAGCGGCGCTTGCATGCACAGCTAGGGGCTTGGCGGGCAGGGGGTGGGCAGCGCCCGCTCAAGGCTCAGCCACCAGGCTGGCGTGAGGGCAGTGCTCCCGCGCATGTGCATCCACCAATCCCGACCACCAGAGGAAGGCAGCACCAGCAGCAGGAATAAGCAGGGGATCTGCACAAATACCTGGATACATCCAGGCTCGATGCACAAACAGCAACGCTTGATGGGCCCAAATTCCACCCAAAGCAGGGGTGAGTGGGCGTGGCTTGTACCCCACAGAGCCGTCGATGAACTCAAATGCAGCACACAGCATAATGTGTGAAATGCCCCATGGGGACAAGAATCGGCCCCGCCGCCGCCCACGAGAGGGGGCGGCCGCCAGCGCCTCTCGCTTGAGGTGAGCATGTCGGGGTCGCCTCGCCTTTTTTGTGGCGGCACATGCGTTGATTTGAACACAATTAGAACGCTCAGGCGAGCATTGCCCAGCTGCGGCGGGGGTGTAGGGAAGGTGCATCATCGCCGGCAGAGTGGAAGGTGAGCTTGGTGCAAACACACAACTCCCAACTTAAAGACCCGAAGTGGAGTCTGGAGAAAGCAACCTGAAACGCGTCGAGGCATCGGCGTATCTGATACCTGAAAATGGAAGACAGCAGGTGCGTCAACATACATATCAACATATGCGTTGAGGCCCATCGGCCCTCAACCTGCCGCAGCGCGGCTGCCATGGTAATCCATAAAGAGCCCCACTCAGCATGCGCTGCCGCCGTCTCAATGGCGGCAGGCGAGCGGGTCTTGATGCATGTGTGATGCGCCCGGGCCGAACCGGCGCAAGGGCCGCGCACGTGCAGGGGGCGGTGCGCCTGGCTGGGTCATGCGAGCAGGTGGCGCTTCAGTTCAAGCTTTTGCAGGATCATGGGATCCTATGATGTGATGCCTCAATCCCGCCGATGAACCACGACGACCGCAATCTCGTCAAGTCGCACTGCTCCGGCGACAGGGCCTACGACCAACCACGTCAGAAGGCGGTCGTGCTTCAGAAGGCGGGCAGGCGCTCCCATCCAGCGGGTGACGAGGCGGTTCCAGATTCGCTCGGTTGCGTGCCGATGTGCGCCTGAGCACTTGGTGGGCCCGATGGCAGGGAAGGGCAAACGGCCGGAAGTGCCCCGAAGCCGGCCACTGCGCCGGCGCCGCCCGGCGCCCTCACGCCGTGGCCGCCCCGGAGAGCGTCCCGCCCGCGCGGCCGGCCCGCGGCGCGCAGCCGCCGCCGGCCTCCTCGTCAGCCGCACGGCGGCCTCCGCAAGCGACACCGTCGGCGGCGCGCCTCGCGCGCCGCTCCTCTCTGAATTGCGGATACTCTTTCACGAAAACGCCGAGCACGATAAGGCCGGCAGCAATCAGCAGGGCGCCCATGACCAGGGCGACGACCTCAAAAGATCGAAGGGCGCCGATGATGGCGCCGACGATGACGGGGCCCGCGAAGCCGCCGAGTGCGGTGCACGACGCGTTGAGGATGCTGCGGGCGGTTGGGGGCGGTTGGGGGCGTTGAGGGTGATTGGCTCCGTTTGGCAGGGGTTTGATGATGAGAAGGTCGTTCCAGTTGTTTGAAAGGCGGGCTCGAATAGGTTGAGATTGGTGACGGTCGCTTGTGGCTTGGGAGCGATGGAGGGATCGAGCGGCCGCGGTGAGAGAGACGCGCGACGCAGCACCAGCGTCCGCCGTGGCGGCGGGCGGCGGCGCGGCAAGCGGGGGACTCAGGGGGCCCGGGCTCACCCTAGGGTGATGCCCGCTTGCGAGGGCGGGGTTATGCCTGCACAAGGCGTGGGGGGACGCGGGGGCGCACGTCACAAGAAGCGCTCGAAGGAGCGGATGGCACCGGCTTGGCGCGTGTGTAAGCAGTCATGCGCACGAGCCTTGCGTCTGCACGCCCTGACTCCCAACCCCCTCTTGCAAAGTCACGCGTGATGGCACAGGGATACCCTTCCGTACACGCACACGCGCGCGCGCACGCACAACACACGCACACGCACACGCGCACGCACACAAACACACGCACACAAACACAAACACACGTGCACACACACACACACACACACACACACACACACACGCACGCACATGCGCGCGCACGGAAACAAACACACACACACACGCACACACATATACACATACATACACATCCAGACAACAACGCACACATCACAACCATCATCACGCACCCGCCGCCCGCGCAACGAGCGTGCTCTGGCCGGCAAACGCCAGCCCCAGCGACGCCGTCAGTATGACAAACGCCCCGACCGCCGAGTGCCGCCCGACGACGCCGAAACAAGAGAGAGTGATGCCCGACAAGATCACGGGGATTGCCACGTGGGCCGTCTTTTCATTGTGCCTGCGGAACGGCGCGAGGCAGGACGGCCGTCGTCACGGTCAGTCGGTCGATGGTCCTGCGGCGAAATACCGACGGGAGGGGCCAGGGCTGGCCCTCGGTCCGTCTGTTGCGGCAAGCGGCACCGCCCGGCTTGCGGCGGGCCGGGCGGCCGTGGGGGTGGCATGTGGCGGCGCACGGTGCAACCATTCCCCGGGTCCTCTGATGCCGCTGGGATGCCAAAGTGAGCAGCCGCTCCTCACCGGTCTGCGCTCCAGGCCACGGCGACGAGCGAGAGCGCGGCGCAGATGTAGGGGATCTGCGGTGCGAGCGCGGGCGCAGGCGCGGGGATGAGGGGGAGGGGATGGGGCGCGCAGGGGTCGGGGGCGCGCAGGATCGCGCCGCGGGCGTTCCGCACAGCGCGCGGCCGGCCAGATAGACGCTTTTGTGCTGGAATCTACCCGATATCTCCGCCTGGACGATCTTCGTTCAACGCCCCAACCCACGCAGTGCGCCCGAGGCATGCCCGCTTCCCGACACCTCAACCCTCACGCCCCACATGCAATCTGTGTCGAAAAAATGCCTCTTTTTCGCCCCAACTGACGCACCGCGCTGAGCAGCACCGCCCGACGCCTTCGCGCCCAGAAGCATCCGACACTTTTGCCTGCCATGCCCCATCCAACACCCCAATGCACGTACATGCGCCCGAGTCCCGTCTGATCCCCGACACAGTGCACCCTCGCGACCCGCACGACCCCTGGCTTCGATCCGCTGTGCCCCAACCCACCGCGCTGAGCAGCGCCGCCTGGACGCTGTTCCTGCTGCCGCCGCCCACGCTGGTCGCGTCGGACAGCAGGGAGCCGTTGAGCAGGTTGCTGACTATGATGGGGATCCACACGTAGATGGACCACGCCGACACGACTGCGACGATTTTTTTGATGACGTCATGGTGACGTCATGAAGATGTCACGGGGCGGCAGGGGGCGGCGGGTGCAGGGCGGGTTGAGGGCCAGGCGTGCGGGTTGGCGAGGGGGACTGTCGGGGCCCCCCAAGCGCAGCTAAACTCTGGGCCGGGGCCGGCTGCCGCGCCGGCTGAGACAGCAGGCAGGCTGCGGCGCGGCGCGGCGTTGCTCAGCGGCGGCGGCATCCCCGGCTCACCCCACAGAAAGGCCGCGACGATGAAGACCCACAGGAGGGGCCGGGAGCAGGCGTCCGCGGCCATGCGCAGCATGGCGCGCAGCGTCGGCGGGCGGCGCGCGGC